AAAGTTATTAGTTACTAGTATTTTACCAGCTGTAATAACAAAAAGATTATTTGCCAAGTAGCTATGGTACATAAATAAGTATAGCTTCATATACTTGCATTCAGGAGTAAGGTTAATTTTTATTCATTTGTCCAGACATCAAGGGATTTTCAACCATTTGTAAACAGAGGTCATAAGAAATATGAGCGTAAAACCAAAAAGAAGGCACACAAGCTAAATCAGTTGTTGAAGACAGATAATTCCATTGAGATTAACTGACAAAGACCATACCAAAAGTGTATGATCTTTTTTTCTTCTCTTATCAGAGATATGAAAAACTGGAACGTCACAATTCTGTAGAATATATGGTCTATAATACCTGTGGTCTACAGATTACTCAGCTCTGAAAAAGAAGGAACTACCCTTAGAAACACCACACTATCTGCCACTTCTACTGAGGTCAGTACACTTAGAAACACAATGTCCCTTCAGAATCTTTAAAGGCCAAGTTAGTGACTTCACTGGGTGCAGTTTTGATACAAGCACACTCTCAGTGGACATTACTGCAATAGCTGCCAGTTAACTGACACTGGTGAAATCTTCAACCTCCTTTTAACAGCATACTAATGGAATTTAAGGGGCTATTAGGTAACCCAAGTTTTAAATAGTGTATGGGGTATAATGTAGCACATTCATAGAAGAAGAGGTTCATTAGGAAGATTAAAGAAGGCTTTCCTCTCCCAGATTTCTACCTGCCTCTTCTCTGGGATCATAGCAACATAGTGGTGCCAGGTCTAGTGTTGATTTTCAGTCTGTTCTCTGTGGGAGTCTTCAGCACTCCTGTTTTATAATCTAGGCAAAGGAGTAGAAACTCTGAGAAAATTCTTTTTTGTACAGGTCTGTAGTATTAGTTCAAAACATGATGGGTCATTATTTTTTAGCTGGCTGAGTTTTTCAGAGAGTTTGGCTCTTGAAAAAGATCAGTTGTACAAGGATTAACACTTTAAAATTACCGCTGTGGAAGACAGGATAAATGGTCTTGTTACACTTGATGTGAATATATGCACTTGATGTGCATATATTAACCAACTTACTTTACACTAGCTGGTTTCAAAAGTTTATTAGCTCTTCCACTTGCTTTTGGGGTATGGAGAAGTTTGATCAAGCTTTGATATGAACATACAATTACTAAGAAGCAATATATAAAAAACCAAACACTATTATTTGTTAGGTGTAATAAATGTGCTTGAAAGTAGCAGCATACATAAAACTGCAGTGCAATATATCAGTTCTGCAATGTCTTGGACCTTCAGAGATGATACTGTTGTGCATGAATTCCTTTCATGTAGTGAGGTAACATAAAATTGAAGGATTATCTGAAGTTAAAGATGATTGATAGAAGCCTAAAGTGGCCCTAAAGGAGAATTTGCAGGCAAGAGTGCTCCTCTTTGACTTCCACAGTTGATTTAGTCTGAATGAGGAAGGGAGTGACCAGGATAAAACTAAATAATAAGAAAAATGAAGTTGATAAACTGGTGGGCAGTCAGAGGATGGGGGCAATGGCCATGGTCGGATATTCACAGTTTTTCATGCGGGTTTAATCCAAAGTCTCAGTGGACACCTTTATAGCAGAGGATTTATATAAATATTTCAATAAATTCACTAAAAGGGAAAATTAATTTATTAGAATGGGTCTTTCTTCATGGTACCATGGTGTTCATAAAGAATAACAAAGATCTGATTAAATGCTGGAGTATATTGTTGTGAAACTAAGGAGCATTCTAGTAAAGTTACAGCCATAATAGAATATTGGCTGTAGCTGGGCAGGAAAACAAATGATTATGCCTTTGAAAATGCAAGATGAACCTTCACAGAGCTTTGTGGTTATGCGCTGATATGGAGAGAAAACAGTTCTGCAAGTAGATCCATGGTTTCTGCTCTCTTTCCCCTATAACTGGTTTTTAAGGTGCTATAGAAAGTGTAATATTACATGATTTAATGGGTGAATATCTTCACAAACATGTGGTGAAAGAAGCTCCATCAAAATATATCTGATGGTCTATATATTGTTTCAGTCAATTTTTTTAATCTAAATATCAGTGCTTTGTAGGGTGAAATTATAATTATACAAACCTTAAGTACTAAAGATATACATAGATATAGAGAAATGACTGAGATTGTTCTCTTAACACATTGAAATAATATTTGAAGAGAAGAAATGAAGAGTAACTATAAATATCTTGGTGTCATATGTGCCAGGAAGGGAAAGCATTAGTAAGAAGAGTAAAAGTGTATTTCACTCCAGTAAAATCCAGTAGCTGGCCCAGAGTTCTTTGAAAATGCTTTTACTGGAAACACCATCTAGAGTTTTTGTGGATGGCGTTTATTACATTCTTAAAACTACACAGCTCCACAACTGCTGAGAGGCAAGCTGCTGAGGCTAACAGCTACAAATGTAATTTATGAAACACATGGCATTGTAATTTGACCAAGAGTTTAATTCAGAACCAAAATTTGAGATCACAGTTACTGTAAAAATTAAAGAACAACCTCATGCAGCAAGTAGAGATGTATCTATCCAATAAGTTAAGGAAATATGGGGAAATCAAAATGCATCACTGGTTTCTTGCTCAGCGGGAATTGTTAAAGACCACTTAGCATTGTTAAGGGAGAAATGTGTTGTTTTCACAGCAAGAGTTATTACTGGTTTTCACTCTGAAATTAGTTTTAGATTACTTATATTTTTGTTTTCCTATAATCAGTTTCCAGCCTTCTGCCCAAGGAGATGTGTTTTATCCTACATCTGAAAGAGCAACACGGAAAAAAAAGGAAAAAAACCTAAACCAAACTAAACCAAACCAAAACAAATAACCCCCCCCTAAATATTATTCTGATTTTAAAGAGACCTGAATAATTAATTAATATATTAATTTAAGGTTATTAGATCCTAAATTTGTGTATGCTGTTTATTATTCATTTTATTGTAGAGATACATTGATGCAGCTGAATCGGTTGGAAGTTTGTGACATAGAAAATTCATTGTATTCTATATCATGTATATGGAGGATATGCTGCTACTAATTCGTGGTCTAAGTGTGATTTGAATGAAATTAGCTCAGCCTAGAACTTCAGACATGCCTTTTTATACTTTACTTCTTTATAATGTATGCTTTCACAGATTCACTTAAATTTCATGAGTTTTCTCAAAAGCAGAGCTAAAGAAATTCCAAAAAGTAATAAAAATATCAAAACCATTTCTACTGACAGCTAATAGGCACAGAAGAGGAAACATCAAAACTCAAGAACAGAAGACTCATCTAGATCTTGGTCCATTTTTTATATCCAAAGGAAGACCACACATATGAGAATTCTTAAAACTAGTTAATTAGGCTAAAAGTCATGTATAGTCTTGAGGTTGTGTGACTGAGAATTATGTACTAATATGTACATATGCAACATGGCATTCTAAAAACCAACATAGGATCCTAAACTTGCTGTTTATGCTAATAAATCAGTACGAAATAGGAAATAGAGCTTGACACACCAAAACTTAGACCCTCTGACTCATCATTGCACTTTCTCGTTTTTAAAGTTTTCTAGAGAACAAGGTTTTCACTATGAAGCTCTGTGAACCTCTGCTGGTCTTTCTAATCTTCTTTCTTCCATCATTGCTCAGAGTAAAGTCCATTAAAACCCTTGTGTTTTTTCCACATTTTATGTCTAGTAGACCTCACAGACTGAGCAGTCTTCCATCTGTGTTTCTTAAGACACCCTATCTAGAAAGTATTTAAAGAGTGTGCCTGCTGGGTTATATTTTACAGGAGATGTAAGTGGAAATAAAAGAAGCAAATGCTATTTATCCACTAACCCAGTTTTTACAGTTGCTAGAGTATGGAATAATTGCAAGGCTGCCTTAAAAGTTAAACTTCTCTATGCTTAGCGTATCTGTTTCTGTCTCCATTGGCAAACTTAGATCTGGCTGTTTTATTGATGCAAAAATATATAAGCTCAATCATCTCCAGTAGTTTAGGAATCAATATATGGATTCATTAAAGGTAAAGGAGGAGTAACAAATGGCAATATGAACTAGGCAGGTAAGAGTTCCTGATTGCCTCAGCAGTTATCAAAGAATTGACTAGTAAAAAATGAGGAAGACATCTACCCTGCAGATCCAAATCAGCTCAGTTCATTTTTTAGAATGAGTTATTCCTCGTGTATTTCATGTAATTTGAAAGAGATTAACTGTGTAACTCCTGCGACTGAAGAAGCTTGAGTTGATAATACTGATAATACTAAGCACTATCAATGAAACCTTCTCCTGAGGTTATATAGCATTTTTATAGCATAATAATTTCAGAAATAATCCCCTGTTCTCACAGAAAGACTAGGTGGTATGCACCAGATTGATTTATCTTACCCTGATTTCATAGACACAATACAAACCATTATAAATGTAAGAGCCTGATACAATCATTAAATTATTTGATAATTCTCACTTAACTTTTTCACTATTATTGTTATTTGTATTCCAGCCCTGCTTAGTTCACAGTCGGAATAAAAACCAGTTGTGCCAGTTAGTGTACAGGGTTATAATATGCAAAGCCTCTTCCTCCTCCCCATCCACTGAATTTGAAGGGTGCTATTGTAGCCCAGTTTAAGGTGGTTAAAATACTGTCAGTTATTTCAACAGGTGCCAGATTCCCTTCTAATATCAAGAGTTTATAAAGCATCTAGACCCAGACATGGATATAGGCAGGCCCAAGATATCTAAGTGCAAAACTGTGATTGCAATCCCCTTCCAGCATACATTAACTGCTGTTTACACTAGAAGTGTCCTATATGCACTGAGCTCTGAGTATATGCTCAAGTTGTTATGTTAAAACATACCTCTCAACTAGAAATGTCTAGAAAGGGACATTATCCCTGTTAAAGATGTGACAAATCCAGGAGGAACACTTCATCCTTTTAAGGGAGAGTGGTGCCATTGCTTTAAAGGAATGTTCGAAAACTTCCCTCTTTGTGGTTGCTGTTTATTATTCTTTCTGAGAGTCAGGGAAAAGGAGATGGCAAGATAGAAGAGCATCAAGAGCTGTAATCACCACCACAGCACATCTTCACCTGGTATGGGTCCACTTCTGACTTTTATGTGTGTGGGAGCCTCAAGTTCCCAATAAGCTGTAAGGCACAAAGACAGAGAGGTTGTCAGTTCATTCTCATTTATTCCAAGTACTATCTGTGTTAGTGTTGATACCTCCAAAGAACTAATTTTGTCATTGTAAGAGGAAGACTGTAGATGACCTAATGCATATTCTTAAATTGTAGTTATTTTTACTCAAAATTATATAAATCAGTCCTTCCCAAATCTTCGTTCGTGAAGCCTAGCCATGATGTGACTATATAAATCAGGAAAAAAACCATCATGACAACAGAACTATATGTTAGATACAAAAGCACCACCATCACTTTCCATGTAAATTAAACCACCTCAGAGTTATAACTTTTTTATACAAAGTTAACAGTGTATCAGGGAAATGTCCAGATAATCTGATTAACTGGCTTTCAATTTCCTATACCAATACCTTTCACCACAAACACTTTTTTTTTTAACTTACTTTTAATTTTTTAAATATTTATTAAGAGATATTTCTTTTTTTTCAAGAAAAGGAGATAAAATATTACTCTTCAGGAAAGAGAGAATTTGGCAGTAAGGAGCAACTACAGGATAGGTGTTTGTGTACAAATCACATTCATGCAGCTTTTTTCTTGCAGATAACTGATGAGGAATGATATTCTTGTTGAATAAGAATGTGCACAGATTCAAGCCCTCAGTTACCTGATTAAGCTAATTGTAGGCTGAAGAGGGGAATTTTGTAATTCTCCCATTGGAGTTCTGTATGAAACAATTTGCTTAAAAAGCAATTGATGTCGTCTGGAAAACTTTGAAAAATGTTCTAGTTAAAAACACTTTGTCTGGGTGTCATGTATCTTTTGGGTTTTCTTCTATCATTTTTATCATTAGGGACATGACAATATTACTGTTGCATGAGAGTATACTTACTTCTTAAGAATTCATCTGCCTTTCACCCTAAATTATTTTCATCGTAGTAATTCCCATAGCAATCACCTGTGATGTAACAAGTAGAAGATTTGACTTTTAGAGGAAAGATTGAAGATGGCATATGCTAATGCATAAAATTAAACAAATTTCTTTCTGTTAGCATATCGGGAAGGTGATGTAAAGAGTCACTTGGGTTAACAACACAAGTTCAGTGCCCTGCGTTATTTATTCTTCCAGAAGTGAAGCATTTCTTCTTTGTACAATGAGTATAATAATATATTTTCTCACACAAAATTTGTTGAGGGAATAAGTCGTTAAATACTGAGGTAAATTTCTTTACTATGTTTGATAATGCTGACTATGCAAGGTATAATCAGAACTATTTGTGAAAATTAAAACAACCCTGTGCAAGTCACAAGGTGGTCTCTCAATATGGAGTATTTAGAAATATATGAGAATGTATCATACAAGTATTCTGCAGCCTCATTAACCTCAGCATCTGTATTTTGAATATAAAATACCTGCACATTTTATGTAGATTTATGGGATATTAAAGAGGCCATTTATTGAAACCTGAAGTGAAGCAGTAAAATTAAAAACATGACCATTCTTTACTCCTCGTAATTGACAGGTTTTTCAAGTGGTGATGAGGCAAGCTGCAGTTATAGTTCCTTCACTACTGACTACAAATGAACTCTGGGGTGACTATTTGCCTTTGACACCTCAAGTAATCACTTTTCAACAGAATGAATTTGTGTCTGAGTGTCTTTGCATAAGGATGCTCATGTGCTGCGTGGGCTTGGAATGAAATTCAGCTAAAACAGTAAGCTTTCAGTTTGGTCCTACATTCTGTGGATTATTTCATGCTTTATTTGAGCTAGTTGTTATCCTGATCTTTTATGAGTTATATGTTCTTATCCAGATACAGTTAGACTCAGGTACCCTTAAGGTGAATTCCAAGACCTTCTTTAGTTGCAGTGAGAACTAAAATATACATATATGAATATAGATAATGTACATAGGTAAAGTATATAGATAAAAGAGAAATCCAGTGATGTTTGTACCCTCCTGTGTGCTAATGTAATATGAAGTGTGTGCACAGGCTATAATATCTAAAAATATCTCTTGGAATTTGTAATGATTATTGGCTTAGGAACTAATTCATTCTGTTGATACTAATTGCCTCTTTGAAATTACATATGAATGTATCCCAGACCAGGCTTTTAAATGAAAAATGTATCCTGCAAAATACAGTCTAACTATGCAGACATCTTAATACAATGCACAATATTATAGATTTTAATTTTGAACACATTTTCTCCATATAAGGACTTTTTAATGATATATGAGTCATTTATCCCTCCCCATTCCCTAAAGCTAAGAGAGAGATAGACAAAAAGTAATAGGTCTCTTTTGCATGATCAGCTGTCAGTTTTCTTTCACATCTTTAACATTTGTTGCCACTACTTGACTTGCTCAGTCTTTTACATTTAGAGGAGAAGAGTGAAATATGTAGATAAACTCGCAGATTTAAATAAAATTTTAGCCTGGAAAGGAAGAGGCATCTAGTCCAGTCTCTTACTCAAAGCAGAACTATTGATCAGGTGCTCTGGTTGTAGTGAACTATTATGTATTTGTCCTAGAATATTTAGGAGTTTGGTTTTGGTTTTGAATGCCAAAATGGCCCACTAAAATCTTCCAAAACTCATGAGATCAATGGGCCATGATTTCATTCAAACCCTTCTGGATTTAAGGATTGATTAAAAAAACACCTTTCTCTAAATATATTTTAAAGATCACCTCCCTATGTAGTTTTTTTCTTTTGATTTCATTAGCCAACAAAACCCAATTTTTTTTGTACTTAGCACTGTACAGTTAAAACCATTGAAATCTCCTATTTCAAGTGCAGAAAAACCAACCTGTTCAGCCACTTTGCAAGCAAACTGGAAAATTTGCACAAATATTGGAAAGCTATAGATTAAACTGAGACAAAAATGGGACTAAAATAATCCAAAAAATAATTTCAGTAAGAGTGGAATCAAAACAAACCATTTTTTTAATCAAAGTCCATTTTCAAAAATAGAAGGTATCCATAGAACTCTCTCATCAGTCAAGCTATTTTACTAATATCAGCCTTCATCAGCAGAGAAGGTTAGTTCTGCTATTCAGTTATGATCTAGCAGTTACAGTAATTTTGTTTGCTTCTGACAAGTAGGATAAATGAAGAAAGAAAAAGATCAGATGCATTGCATCAGGAAATAGAGCTTTCAGTTTGTATTTTAAGGCTGCAAGGCAGTTGGGTAATTACAGGTATATGGGGCTGGAGACTGGCCATAGCAGCTCTTGTTCTGAAGTATGGCACTCTTGGTGAAGGGACTGGAGCACAGGCCCTATGAAGAGCAGCTGAGGGAGCTGGGGCTGTTTAGCCTGGAGAAGAGGAGGCTCAGGAGAGACCTCATCACTCTCCACAACTTCCTGAAAGGAGGTCATATCAAGGTGAGAGATCTCTTCTCCCAGGCAACCAGCAGTAGGACAAGAGGACACGATCTTAAGCTGTGCCAGGGGAGGTTTAGGTTAGACATTAGAAAGATATTCTTTACAGAGAGAGTGATCAGACATTGGAATGGGCTGCCCAGGAAGGTGGTGGAGTCACCATCCCTGGAGGTATTTAAGAAGAGACTGGATGAGACACTTAATGCCATAGTCTAGTTGACAGGGTGGTGTTGGGTCATGGGTTGGACTTGATGATCTCAGAGGTCTTTTCCAACTAGGTTGATTCTGTGATTCTGTGACTGAACTTTTTTCATCATGTTGACTGCTTTACAGACTGGATATCCAACACACTCTATTTATTTCAGCCATCTCCAGCCCTGTTATTAAAAACAATTTTTAGGCTGCATTGGCAGAATTTTTCATATGCACTAACCTTTTGAAAATTCTCTTTACTAATAAATATTCATTGCTATATACATTCTAATAAATAGTCATTGCTGTAGGGGAGTAGTCAGACTTGGTCCTCAAAGTTTCAAGTTCCTTTTGCTTCAAATGTTCCTGCAATCAGGGCTCTTATCTTTCTCTCTTCTTCTTGCCCTTCCTATTCTCCTTGAGCCATGAACCCAGTAGCATGTTCCTGACCTTTTCTCCCCTTTGCTTCCTCAGTGCTTCATTGTGACCATATGCCTCTCCCAGAACCCTCAAAAGCTTATTGCTGCTGCTTCCAAGACAGCCCTGATATGTCCCCACCTGTGGCTCACTGGATCCTGTGATCACCATAACTTCTAGCTCTCTGAGCTCCTCTCCTCCTGCCTGACTAATGAGTATGTCTGCACTGCTGAATAAGAACAGACTAGGTACTGATCTTTGGGTCACATTGGGACACAGTGATTTCAGATTGGCTATGTTCTTAACCCTGAGGACTAAGAGACTGGGAGAAAACTAAAACTAAGCAGTGGCAGGGGTCCTGGTCTTGAGGTTGCCCATGTGCCCTCCCTCTTCTCTTTAACAGCACAGATGCAACTCCTGTATTCCAGTGTCTACATCTGACATGCAGGTTCCACATCACACAAGGTCCCAGACAAGGAGGTGTATTGGAGACCACAGTGGCTCCTCCTGCAGCAACTGAGGCATAGAGGGCAAGGAGAAGGAGAGGAGTGTATGCCTCAATATTACCCTGACATATGGTCAGGGCTCAGCACAAATGAACACCAGCTGGGAGCTGGAGAGCACTCAGGGCATGGTGATGTCAGATCCACATGCCAGTCTGAATCAGTGATACGTCTCAGTCTACATACCCATAAACACATGCATGCACTGGGGGAGATGGGGTGTGCATACATATTTTTATATAAAAACATATATATACATAACAGGTTACCTTGGTTGGCCACAAGCATCTAGAGAGATAAACAGCAAAATGTCAACAGACTACACTCAAGTTCTCTCATCTGAAAGTTATTATGTTTTCACAAAGCATGAATTTGCAGGTAATATTCGTGCAGTATATATTCCCAAAGGTGACCTAGATGCATTCAGGTCCCTCAGACAGGTTACCCTTTGTGGATGCTAATTGGTCCTTTTAAAAAAACATGGAACTGTTCTAAACTTTTATCTTTATGCAATTTAACCCAATTGCAACACTTTAATAAGTTCCTGATCAATGCAAAGTTTCTAGAAAGCAAGTTTTCAGTAGGGGTTTTTTGCAGGGTGTTGGTTAAATAAAATAAAATTAATAAAAATATATTAAGATTGCCTTTGAAAACTCAAGATAAACTGGGGGAAACAAAGACAAGAAACAGGTTGGATGAAAATTACATTCCTGCTATAGAGAAAACTTGCAGAATAAGGGAAATCTTATATCTAATTAAGAAACAGACAAATTTTTTTTCACTGAAACCTTACAACCAAAATGCATTTCAACTGAGACCAGAAAATTGCTATATCTGTACATAAAAGAAGCAGAACAATTTAAAACTGAAACACAATAATTACAAATTCTGAATGTCTTCCATAACTCTGTTATGAAGAAGGCTTCATATCTGCTAAAAACCCTTGAGTAGTAATATCTGTTAGCTTTTCTTGCTGTTAGCAAATTCTGTTTTAATGGTTTAAATAAATATTACATAAATTACAGAGGCATTTTTCTGCCTTCGATATTCATAATTTGAAATTAACACAGGCTGTAAAAAATTATTTTATACATGAATGTTTAGAAGGTAAAAATGTGTGGACTCAGAAAGCTGCAGAATTTGAAGCACTCATCTGATAACTGGGGACTTAATTCCTCAATGAATTAAAACCTGTGCCCAGCTTAATGTCTGTTGCTTGTTCCACTGTCCCCAGCTGGTATGGCCACATGTTTAAATTCATGAATTTATGGGGGAACCAGAGCCCAGGAGGCATGTCAAACATGAGCCCCGTTCTTGTATTGGATAAACTGGGCAGCAAAAGCCTTCCAAGTGTTTTCATGAATCTCTACAGCATGTGTCTGTTTTCTGAACACTTATGTTTAAAGCAACAAACATCAAAATCCAAGCTAAAGGAAAGAGTGAGGAATGTGTGGCATGTGTTTATATTAGCCAGAACTCGACTACTGCAACACAATGCACAGATTTTTTTGTAGGCCAAATAAATATGTCCTCAGGCATATAATCTGTCCACTTAATAATTCAGTTACTGTACATATGGAGTCCCATTTTCTGTAACGAATTGGAACAAGTTTCTGTTAAAATGAATACTCTTTTCCAGCCCTTCAAATTAGCACACTGACTCTGCAGTCTCTATTCTGGAAACATCTCCACTCACAAAACTAGGAATTGGGACTGAGAAGTACCCACCATATACTGTTTAAGAGATTTTAACAGGTGGGCTAGGGGAGTGGTATTTTAAGGTAACCATCTATCTCAAATAGACAAAACCTCATTCAAAGAAGGACTGGAGGTCAAATATATGGTCCAAAAATCCCAAATGCCAACTGGCTTTCCAGATTCCTTACTTTTTTACTGACTATTTTTCCTGTCTTCAGGAGTCCCTCTTCTGACTACTACCATGCTATTTAAAATGAAAAATCACATTTCATCTCATGTATGACCCAAATCAGGAGCCAGATAACTAAATCCAGTGGCCATGTCCAGAGTATGTACACAGGAGACCTGAACAATCATAGAATCACAGAACATCCCAGTTTCTAAGGGACCTAGAAAGATAATCTGGTCCAAATTTTCACGGGAAAGGGAGCCTAGATGATGTTGTCTAGCAACCTATCCCATTACATCTTGAAAACCTCCGGCGATGAAGACTCCATCACATCCCTGCAGAGATTATTCCAGTGACTGACTGGTCTCACTGTAAACGTTTCTTTCTTATGTGAAGATGAAACCTTTACTGGTGCAAGTTGTATCCACCGCTACTTATCTTCTCCATGTGGCTCCTTGTGAAGAGACACCGTCCTCTTTGTAACCATCCTTTAAGTACTGGTGTACTGTGATTAAGTTCCTCCCAGAGCCTTCTCTTTTTCTTTTCCATGGAGAAAAGATGGATCCTTTCTCTCTCTCTCTCTCTCTCTCTCTCTCTCTCAACTTTTCTTATAACTGACAGATTATAATGCTAGTGAAGGAAGCTAATTCAGAGATTGGCAGTTCCCAGAACTGCCAAAACATATTTGAACTCACAGCTTTTCTTTCTCTGATTATGTCCTGTATCCTCCCCTCCCAGTTATCTTGTCTTGGAATTTACCATCTGACTCAGGGCTGCATCAATCACTTCTATGACATTTCCAGATCTTAAGGAAAGATATTTGGAAAAGGAGGAGGAAATGGTGGCCTGCCTAACCAGAGAGACTGGAGGTTTGAGCAGCGCTGATGCTGCAGTCCAGAGGAGAGGGCAATTTTTGGACATATATTGTAGCCTGGCAGGAGTGGTTTTCTAGGCATTTGGAGCAATGAATGGAAACCCCATCAAAGTGAGCAATATCTGGAGATCAGGACTTTGCTTTCTGAGTAACTGTCATAGTAATAATGTTGTCATAGGGAGATCATTGTTTTTACCTCTCACTCGTCTTTTGACTGAGCTTTCAATTAAAGTGTTCCTGAAGTGAGCTTGGAGGTAAATTAAATGTGACCAGTAGGTTTTCTGAGTCATCAGAGACCATCTGAATTGTTCACATCCTAAGGAAATGGCAGGGCTTCTGCTCAGCAAAACAGGAAAAAGGATCAAGTCACACACCTCAACCAAACTGATGGTATCTCTGACAGATAAGCAGGCAAAGATAATATTCTTACATACATTGAATTCCCATGTTGGATCAATTCACCTGAGTAGAAAAGTTAGGCATTGCTGTTCAGGTACTTTTTACACTGAAGTACTTAAGATTTGCTTATGGAACGTTAGCAGTATTTCTGATCCAGTTCCAAAACTTGGCAATCCCTGGGTAGTTTTGCCTGAGCTCTGGCAAGTCAGCACATGGAAGAGCACCTAGGAGGTGGATTAAACCAGCAAGAATCAAAGTTCTGAGGCAGCAAGAGGAAGTTCCTCAAGCAAGAGGAAGTGGCTGTTGAAACCTTGTCAACATTACATAGAATCATAGAATCAGCTGGGTTGGAAGGAACCTCCGAGATCATCAAGTCCAACCCTTTGAACCATTCATAGCTTGCTCATATTTAGTTTGTATGCAATTGTACTACTATTGTAGTATTGACTGAACTTTTGCGTGAGACAAATTAATGCAGGTGCTTTAAACATTTCACATTTTTTCTAAGTCATCAGAATTATGGAAATATTCACATGTTGAAGATAAAACACAAAACCTAAGGGTCAAACCTTTGATCTTATTTCCACAGACATGTTTGAGTCTATTAGAAGTGTACCCTCTCACCTAGTGCGGATCTGCTGCAGATCTGTAAAAGGCATCACTCTGTGGGAAAACTTCCTATTTTTATGTCTGAGATGTGTGGGATTGGTCACAGCATGAGTTCAGATTATCTCAAATCTCCTGTTACAATCTGGGTCTTTTAGTCTTTTACACTTTCTTCTATTCTTGTTGTGTGATCCTTTCTTGCTCCCACTGCAGTGTCCTGTGGACTTCTACTAAAAGTCTGCTCCCTCATTCCAGATTGGGACAATTCTGTGTTTCCTGCTCTTTTGTCTACATATGTTTAATTAAAATTCAAAAAATATTCAATAGATCTTAAAATTATCCTTTATTATTTCTACTGGCTGCGCAAGTGATTGAACATTACGGTACATTACAAACACATGGGGAAAGAGGTTTGAGACCCTTTAGAGGGCACTTTGCTTTTTATTCTGCCTGCAAGGTACACCTGTGCATCTTTGGTTAGAAGTGTTAAAAAGAAAAAGCAGATGAAAGCAACAGACTTTTTTGTCAAGCTGTGACAGAAATCAAATGCAAATAGAGCTCAGTTCAAGACTGTTTGTTAAGTGTCACGTCAGTGAGTATTAAATGCAGCACATGTCGTTTTACAATGAGCATACTGTATATGAATTTTATTGATTTTTTTCAAAGAGGATACATTGAATAATGCGCTCTTCCTTACCAGTGCCAGTTTACAAGTACTTGTGTATGCACATTCGTTAGGCTCCTAAATGCTGCTGCCTTACTTAGCACATCTTGTTTTGTGGAGGCTGGGATTCAAGCTGTAGAAAGACCTACACAAATGATTCTCTCCCTCTGAGAAAAGTGGGACAGAGTAATTTAGACTTCCCAGCATGAAGCTGTCAATGAGCAGCTTCTCAAAATGATTCACAATTAGTGCACCAGACTTACACTAGGAACAGGTTCTCAACTGATTTCCTTTCCACAAAGGAGTGAGTCTGGGGCTTCCTTTTGCTATTAGCAATGTTACAGATGTATAAAAAAAATTGTCAGAGCTGGTTAACTCTGCTGCGCGTATGTCTGAAATCTTTGTACTATACTACGTATAGTACAAATCTGATTTCTCCATATTCATTCAAACTACGTATTTTTCCAATTAATACTTAGCAAAACCAGTGTTAGCATTAAATTACATGTGAAAGGTAACAACAGCAGTGTCAGACTCATCTCCACTAGGACAGAGACACTAATGATTCAGCAATGGGGACACCGCTCCATGGGAGATGCTATGTATGTCCAGTGCATTCATCTATGTGCAGGTGCATCAGTATTTGAGCTGGGTTTGCTTTTGTGTGTGCACTGCCTTTCCATTGCTTGGTGTGAGAGCTCTGATTCTGCAGCCATCTCCTTACAGCACTCAAATCATCAAAGTGCTTAGAAAAGTATGTTAAAATCTGTGGCAGGTAGACAACTTGACAATATTATACATATTGGACCATAATGGTTAGGCTTAGATGTTTAACTGCCAGGCTAAAGCATGTTAAAATTGGCCATATAGCTGTCATTTAATGCATTTACTGGTGATTTTAAGTGTCTTACCTGCAGGCTCAGTGGAGGCTGCAATATTCACAGCACATTTGTAGTTCAGGCTCTTGTCTCCTGACATGCTTCACCTGCAGGGGCACAGTGTTGTTACACATGAGCCAAAACAGAGGCCAGGAATTTGGATAATACTCTGAAATGTTGGCTAACAAAAGGCTCATGCTGAGAAAACTCTTACTCACATGTATTATTACTCAATGCACTCCAAAGGTCTAGATTTCTGCTGGCAATTTGCCACTTCTGCCCTCGTCCCACACACAGATATGGCTTCCTCTTAATCCATTTAATTACTGTTTATGATCTTAAAGAACGGAGGCAGAAATAGTTTTATACACAGTTTTTCTACATCCATGTAATCTTAAAGTTGTCAAGCTTTACATAGCTTTCTTTTAAGAAAAAGTAGCTTACTTAAGCATTATCTAGTGATATCTAAATGAACAAGATTTGTTGGTATTCTCAAAGCAAAAATAGTGCTAGGTTAACCAAACTGTGGTCTGAAAAAGATGCAGAAGTTAGAGATTTAACTCCTGGAGTCACGTGATGGTGTCAAGTTATCTATTTATCCATTCACTATACATCCCTCCCATCTATATTTTAGAGAAAATTGATAAATCATCAGACAGCAGTTCCTTCCGCCTTGTAGATATTTTCTCCGTTCCAAAAAAGAAGGCGAAGAGCATTTCCTTCTATAATATAATAGAAAACATATGGTGTGGCAGCCATTTAAAGGTCACTATTTCTGTGAGCTAGGAAGTAACAGGCTGCATAACCCATAACTTTTGTATGAAAAAGATTTAAAAAAAAAAAAAAATAAAAAAATGTTAACCCTGTGAAAGTTGTTTCCATTTAAGTGAGTTCTGAGTAAACATATGTTAATTAAACTTACTGTGCTGTTTCTTACCGGCACTTTTATTGGGGTTTTAACTATAATTTTTAAATAGTTATTTGATTGGGAGGAAACAAATTAAATGATAATGTCTAGGATGCTGACCCAACAAAAAGTTTTTTGGGTATGAAAATGTCATGGTTTGAGCTCCCCAAAAATCCAATTTCCAAGCTTCCCCACAATTTGCTTCAGTGTGAGAGGGTTTTCAGACATAACACAATTGCTAGCACAGGGAAATTATAGTAAAATTTATTACTAACGCAATAAATACTATAGAAACTAAAAAGCAAATAAATACACGGTATTAATACAATCTCTACCACCCCTGAGGCTCTCCCACATCAAACCAGAAGAAGAAAAACCATCAGGGCGATAGCTAAAGTGTCTCTCTCATTGGGGTATCAAGGAAGGGGTCTTTTGCACCCCCAGCAGCTCCTTGGCCTCTGCTGAGGTCTCCTCCTGGACTGCAAGGGAACACTTGCTGCACCAGGTCTTCATCACGAGCTACAGGAAGTCAGCTTTTGAGTCCTTTCACCCTAGTTCATGAAGGTTCCTCCCAGGGAGTAAGATGTTCACTCTTCCTCTCCAGGTTGCAGGGTTTCTGGGTTTTGCTCAGTCTTTTATTATACCCCAAATAGTTTCCAACAAAAGTCCTTACCCAGAAAAAGTCTGCTTGGTTTGGCTTCTCTCTGTTTCACCTGCAGCTTCAGCTCGACTTCCACATGTCAGAGGAGGCATTCCTCCCCCACATTCCTCTTTTGGTTTTCGGCTGCCCCCGCCCAAATCACCTCCGAGCCCCTCGGCCTGCCTCTGCGTCGCTCAGTCTCAACTCAGGGTCTCCTCCTCCCCTGCCGATGGTGGGGGGGGGAGTGGAAAGTGGCAGTGAGACTGCTTCAAGTCTTTCTCTCATCCTCTGCCTGGAATTCTTCCAGCTCTGCACGATCTCCACTGCTTCTGCAGCTCCCGGGCCACCCGTCGGCCCATCTATGGCTCGGCTCCGATGCCCTGCCTGCCTGCTGGGGGAAGGGGGCTGGCTCCAACCCCCGGCTGGCCTCTCAAGCCCTGTGCCACTGCCTCTTCAGGGCAGTGGGGTGAAACAGCAAAGAAACCACCCCGGCCCTGGCCAAACCAAGGCCGTGGAGGCCCAGGGGCCCCCTGGGTTCAGGGGCCCCTGGCCACCCCTTGTGGCTCCGATTCACTCTCTCTCACTGCCAACAACTTCCTTCCGGCTGTTGTAAATCCTAATTTCACAGGGGCGAAACACAGCTCTGATTGGCCCCTGATCAGAAACTCACCTGGGAACAATCACTTCCAGCCCCCCCCGGGGGGGAGGGGGGGGGGGGGCAGCTGAAAGCACGACAGAAAAACATTAACCAACTCTATTTACTCAAATAAGATCAGTGTCTCGTATAAAGCCATTTTTTCTTCCTCCTCCTCTTCTCTACCGATACTCCTGTCAGAGGATTTTTTTCATCCCTTCATCATTATCTCTGTCTTTTGCAGTCATACCTCTTCACTGTTTCTGTTTACATTTTCTCCAAAACCATTTTTTCCCAATTTGCCTCCTTTAGGCATTTCTATTATTTTGCTTCTTTTTCACCTCTTCTGTAATTTTCTTCCAGAGCCTTCTTTACTCATCCCAAAGTTTAATTCTTGCAATCTCAAATCTTCTTTGCACTGTTTACCTTACCTCCTCTTGTAGTTCTTCCCTATAGACCAAGCTCATTCTTATATGTTCTTAGTAATGTGGCCTGACCACAAAGAAAAGCAGTGCTTTGGCAGCTAAGTTAAGAAAACACAGGTACTGTATCATAACCAGATTTATTTTTTAAGCAACTGCAGGTCAAAAGCAGCATTTAGGATTGTTAGAGATCAGAAGGCCCGTGCTCAGCAGTGTCTGCAACACATTTAAGAAGACTGAGCTGAAGCATTGAGGAGGCTTGTTTTTATTTCTGAGTAAGGGCAAGGGCTCTGCATGTGTTTTTTTTCTTTGTATCCAGGTATTTTAGTGGCTTCACACAGATATTTGCTCAAAAGTAGTCTTCAAGCCTAAAATTAAAAGTTAACATTTTATTCATTCACAAACTACCAGCAGGCATGGTAACTTACATTGATTTTCTAATTTAATATAATTCAGGAAATGTAAGGAAAATACATTTTTGTCAGTGTTTTTGTCTTCAGTTGTTGGTAAGAACTACATTATATCAGAGAATCATTAATCCTGACTTTTGCTAGTGTGCATCTTAAAGACATTTGACTCTCCAGATAATTTACAGGAAATAATATGGTTACTCTAAAAGTCTCATTTAAAAGAAGAAAATTATTCTAATGGCACATTGCAGTTTTCCTCAGAGAATGACTTGACAATATTTCCATTGTGCATATAGGACTGCATCAACAGTCCAAATGTACAGCCACAAAAATTGACAGTGAATCTTGGCTAACAAGTATTCTAGCACTGGAGGAAATGAACTTTGCAGCATACCACAGCTGACATTACAGGTCTGGAGTATGTCCCAATAAAAGTATATTCCATATCCCAGACTTAATTATGCTATCAGTGATGTCCATGACTTCTACATGAAACTAGCAGGTGTGATACAAGACCTATTTGAGACCATTGATCTTCTGTAACCCCACATCAATTCCAAACTGTTGAAGATAAACCAACAGTGAGACTTGGGTCAGGATTCAGGAATCTAAATTTAGATCTTCATGTAGCTCTCAGCACACAAGTTACGTTTCACCCCACTGTAGTCACTAATGATCTCAGATTAGATGCAGTTGTCTCCCTTCACAAGCAAATAGTGCCATTTAAATTGCCATAGGCTGTCTCAGTTGATCTTCAGCTGCCACTCAAGGAAGGTAAGGATCTATGATAGGTCCTTTCTGACAGCTGTCAGACCAACAAAGCATCTAGAACTCCTTAGTGTGTCTCCAGTGGCACTAGATGGAGTCCATGTAGTCTGGAGAGTTGTTAAGACGCTTACCTTCAGTCTCTCCAGAAACTACTGTATCTAGTATTCTTCTGAGCACATGAACACAAATCAAAAATAGTTTGTGCTCTAAAGAAAGGATATCTAAGCAAACATAGCAAGAAAAACTAGAAGAACAGAAGAAATAGTTGTTCTATTCTCAGCAGAGGAAGAGTAGAAGGGAATTAGCAGACAGCAGAGTGATGTGGTTTGTCAAGTTTCACAGAGGCATTGCTTGGCAGAGGGAATGTACTACAGAGACTTTTCTGCCAGATCTTATCTAGTTCTCCTTCTGTGGATGAAGGCATTAGGCAAAATTGATAGGAATTTGATGTGAAGCAGCCAGAAGGGCCACAACCTTTTTTCTTTCCAAGCACTACTTCTGTTGAACACCATAGGAGTTTTACCATTGCTCTCCATTGCTTTGAGCAGGTTCTAGGACATTCCCCAAGAATTTCCACAGGTATTTAGAAAAATTTCTTTGCTTAGATAAAGAAAATAATGGTCTGACCTCCTTCTTGCAGTCAGAAACCCTTGAATAGAGGCAGAGGAGCATCTGTCAATGTACATGACCTGTGCAAACCCTCTGGATGTCCCACTGGATTTATGGACTTCCCATGACTGGAGCTCTTGTGCACGATGTAATGAACAATATGCTGCTCAGAGCTAGTCTCCTGTTTGCTTACTTCAGATTAGAGATAGTCTTGGTCAGATATGGGAAGGATTGGCCTGTCTTGCCAGAATTTGACAAACTGATGGTCGCTCTAACTGTGGCAGACAATTGAGATGCTGTTGGTAAATCTTGGGAAAGCTCTTGAGTGCGTTCCTAGAAATAGCAGAGGACCACAAACGTATTAAGGTGAAATTCTGTTTTCTGGCTACATGCCATCTGAGGTCTCTTTTCTATTTCTACCTATAAAAACTCCATGTCACAGATAGCTTTCAAAAGGACTTTGTTGAACAGTACAATGTGGCTTTTCAGGGTGAGTGTGACTAAAATACGACTACTTTTATAGGCATTAGAAGAGTGTGTTCAGACTAAAAGCCAGGGTGAGCCTTCTAGGAATTAGAGGGAGAGTACACAAATAATGATCTTTTGGGACTTTTTCTGTTCCTGAAATTGAAATCAACCCCCATATCAGTGCACAATGGTCAGGCAGTGATCATCATTAAATTCCCATTGGCTGTCTAAATGAGCATTAGATACAGACATTTTCAATAAGCTCTGAACTGAGGTGAAGTGAAAACTTAGAGCTGAATTGTGTCACCACATCTTTGATCCATCCCATCCTGGATGATGTAGCATGTTGAGTAAGCATTCTTTTATGCTTTAAACATCTAAAGGTTATAAATCTAAGAATTCAGATTTACAGTGACAATAATCATCCAAGGTCCTGTGAGGTTAAGGACTTTCTAAATATGGGGTCAGTGAAGACATGAGACATCAATGAGACATCACCTCAAAGCAGAAGTGGGGAGAGAGCAGCAGAGCCTCTTTATATTCTTATTGAAGTTGTGCATGGGCAGTGATCTTGTGTTCAATACAGCCTTCATGAAAGTAAAGCCTGACACAGTTGTGGCTATTTACTACAAAATCATAATTCATGGTTACTATAGTACATATCCTATAAGACCTACATAGAATTGTATTCATGCAACATACCTTGCTTGCAGGAAAATAATTACATATATGTATAAATATATATATATATAAAAATATAATACAGCACTGGTATGGCAACAATTAAGGAGAGAAACAGCTTCAGTGAAGGCATGACATTCAAAAAAAAATGTGCCTAGGAAAGGAAAATAATAATTTGCTCTCCTTCATGTATTAATGGCAGAAGTCTTAAACACAGCAGATGTTCAATGTGCAACTATGAATGCAATTAACAGTTTTTATAGCTAATATCGAGTCACTTCATGCTATTGTACTCATAACCAGTCAAAACTAAGCTTATCAAATAAATTGATTAACTATCTACAAATAAAGGGTTATCAGCTGCAAATGAAGTTCAGAGAATTCAGGCCTACTGCTTTTGTCTCACTTTTAAAAACATTTTCTTTATACCAGTGTTTTATGGTTTCAAAGACAAATAGAAGCCTGCGTGTTTGGAGCAAAAAAGATCTTCAACACACATAGAGGCTCTTGCTCATAGAGTTGGAGGGATACTTAAAACTGCAGCTGGAAATCATCTAGGGCTCAAACTATAGAAACAGGTCTTATGGAGTATATTTACGGTCAAGACAGCTGACAGTCTATGAAGCAAAAAATACTTTGGCTTCTTAAAATAACTACATAATATTTAAATAACTTTGATAGTTGAAGATCTGGTTTGTACGTTACTGTAGAGAGTAGCAGTTCTTTTTTATGAGGTGCTGAAACTAGAATATGTTTTTTATTGGATCACACTGCAAGAAAGAGTTATGCCAGTTGTATGAGACGAAAGGGCACCAGCCTGCATTCAAAGCCTCTTTTGGGTGTAGAACCTTCCTGTCAACAGTAAGGCTGGCAAGATCTATCTTTCAAGTGAATGAGTCACTGATGTTTGCCATCAATGGTAATCAGCAGAAACAGTGTGACATGAAGATGCCATTTTCTGCAGTGAAACAACTTTCTCAGATGTGTTTTTTTGCAGAGCTGTACAGAACTTCACTTTGACAAAGGATATAGTTTTCACTGTTGACATAAAATGTCCTTCCTTTCATTTTGTAGTCTTAAAAATAAATATTAAATGAAAATTGAACCACATTTAGGCCTGTATTTTTAAAAGAGATCCCCAAAATCTTTCTTTCAGAACAATACAAATAATAAGAATTTCTGACTACTGAATATATACCACTTTTCCACTGACCTGCCTGCCTAGAAAAGAATTGTTACTGTTGTTTTAATTTTAAGATTAGTATAGAAAGAAGGTTGTTCCCCATTAGAAAACACTACCTTTTAGGCTGGAGCAGATTCCTCCATCTTGATTAACTTTTATTAGTCTCTCTGTAAATTGTCGTATTTACCTGGCTATGATCACACAGTGTGAATAAGACATCAAAAAAACCCCAAACAACATTACAATGATGAACTTAGGTTTAAGAAGCAGGGTTCATTTTTATTAATACTTTTATTTACATATCAGCAAGTTCTTTTAAAATACTGGCATTCTACCTATCAATTAATTAATTTTAAA